AAGGGGAGGAAACCTTGCACCTTCAGCAGCGGGAAGTTGGTCAGAAGGACTGGGGTCAATCTCTTCAACATAGTAATAACTTCAACCAGGTGAATGTCAGCCTTGCTCAGCCTGTTGCCAACCAGGTAGTGCTGTCCATGGCTCTTCAACACCTGGTGCATTGGAGGAAGAAGGTTATGAATACAGGTGCACTCAGGCTGGGTGCCCCCTGCTCCTGCCCAGGTCTCTCCAGCCTGGCTTCCCACCTGTGCTGTCTCCCTGGACAGGTGCAAAGCATCAGACCACATTCATCTCCCTGACTCAGTGAGACAGAAAGAAGCAGGTCTTTGCTGTTTGTTTTCCTCACCCCTCAGCTGACGCCCAGGCAACCATTTCCTTTCCCCATCCCCATATCTCTGTGCATTTTGGTCTGGCCCGGACTTTCCCTGGCTGTACTGTGTTTCTGTGTGTTACACACCCTGAAGCCTCAGCAGCTCTAAGATTTCAGAACTTGCCTCTCCAGGCTGTTCTCTCTCTGTCTTTTGGGCAAAGACCCCATCTTCATGACATCCTTCCTCAATCTCGAGAACACTATTTCAAGATCTACATTTCTCCTCTTGTCTGCTAGTCTCATCTCCTGGTCTACCTATGTAGGACCTGAAATAATCCTGGAACAATGTGAACTCACCATTTCTCTTACAACATTGTCTCCTACTCCTAAGGCACCTGTGCCTCTCAATAACATTGGGAGAATTTGCTATAATTCACATGTGAACTGCCTAAGGGTGACTGCACTTGTCTGTAACTTACTTTTAAATGCATTAAAAAAATAATGTTTGATTACAGCAGAGAGGGATGGGGAGATATATGATTAAACAAACATAGTATAAAATGTTAATTTTAAATCAAAGTGGTCAGTATATATGAGTTTGCTGGTACATCTCTTTCAACTTTTTTGTTTCAGTTTTTTATAATTAAATATTGGAGAAATATTATTAAAATTATTGCAGTGGAAACTGAAGAGAAAATAAACAAGAGGCAGCTGATCAATGACTCTCTCTCATCGATGTTTCTAACTCTCTATCTCTCTCCCTTCCTCTCGGTACAAAATCAATATAATATATTTAAAAAAAAAAAAGACAGAAGGAAGGCCAAGAGACATATAAAAACATGCTCCAAGTCACTAAGTATCTGAGATATATGTACCCTTAAGTTCATAGCAGCACAATTCACCATTCTTAGATTTGAAAATAGCCTAAGTACCCATCAGCAGATGAGTGGATTAAAAAACTGTGGTACATCTACACAATGACATACTATGGTGCTTTAATAAAAGAAAGACCTCTTACCATTTGCAACAGCATGGATGGACCTGGAGAGCATTATGCTAAGTGAAATAAGCCAATAAGAGAAAGATAAATATCACATGATCTCACTCATTTATGGAATACAATGAACAACATAAACTGATGAACAAAAACAGATCCAGAGACGGAGAAGCATCAATCAGATGGTCAAACCTCAGAGGGAAGGTAGGAGAGGGAGGGAGTAAGGGGAAGAGATCAACCAAAGGACTTGTATGATGCATATAAGCCTAACCAATGGACACAGACAACAAGGGGGTTAGGGCATGAGTGGGAGTGGGGTGGGGAGTAATGGGGATAAGGACACATATGTAATACCTTAATCAATAAAGAAATTTAAAAATTATTACAGCAATGTGGACACCACAGAGAAAAAATCACACATGGACCACTGACTAAAGATAACATTTTGGCAAATAAGCTTTCAGACTAGATAGATAGATATGATTGAATAAGTAATTAATGACTACAATAAAATATCAAATGCTGTTTTTTAAGAAATATATATATATGTATATATATATATATATATATATAAATAAATAATATATATATAAATAAATATATATATATATATTTATATTTATATATATATATAATCAATCATTTATTGATTTCAGAAAGGAAGGGAGAGGGAAAGAGAGATAGAAATATCAATAATGAGAGAGAATCACTGATTGGCTGCCTGTTGCATGTCCCATATTGGGGATCAAGCCCACAACCCAGGCATATGCCCTTAACCAGAATTAAACCTGGGACCCTTCATTCCACAGTCTGATGCTCTATCCACTGAGCCAAACCAGTTAGGGCTCAAATGCTGTATTTTTAATTGGAGATTAAAGCCTTATTGGTGATAACATTGGCAAATGTGTTCTCCCATGCAGTGGGCTTTCTTGTTGTTTTGTTGATGGTTTCTTTTGCTGTGCAAAAACTTTTTATTTTGTAGTCCCATTTGTTTATTTTCTCTTTATTTTCCATTGCAATATAGCATTTTGCATTCACCTGATCATAGGGCTCTTTATTTTCATGTTATCATGGGACTCTGTTTTTTAAAGTATAGATGCACCTAAATTGCAAGTCTGTTTAGGTTCCCATCATGTGAAATGTGCCTAAACTCTTAGCACCACAAGGATAGGAGAGTGTACTAGTGTGCCCTGATAAATACCAAATCTTTTGCTCTTTGAATAGAACCTCACACACAAGCAACAAATTAACATTTGAGTGAATGAATGACTTAATACTTTATAAAGATAAGTTCCTCAGTATTAATCTTTTTATTTCTATGTAAGCCTCTTGTATCCCTTATAATCTTGTTGTTCATGATTTTTATTTAGCATGATGTCAGGGTGTTTTAATCTGAAATACTCCCCTTTTACCTTCAAAGAGAAGAATTAAATAATATAGGTATTATGTATATTGATGGAACTTTATTTCATTAGTTTTGCATGACGTTCTCAAAGGTTTGAGAGCCAGGTCCACAAAATTTGTAGATTATTTATTCCTTAACATCTCTGTATCTGTTTCTTCCTCTCCATCTCACCACCTTTCTCTCTGTTTAGAAACATCTCATCCATCCCAGACACACTACCATATCCTCTTCGTGGGCAGTTGGGGTCATGTTTCCTAATCGTGTTGCAAGCATATTTTCCAATGAATTGCTTTCCTGGTGCTCCTCTTGGATGAAAAGCCCCTGCATGGTGTTCTGCAGGATCTACTCCAATCACTCATGTGGCTCTAACTGTGGCCATGAAATGCCATCAAATAGAGAATTCTATGTCAGGGCCCAGTAAGCTGAACTTTTGCTGACAGATTATAACTTGGGTATAACAGGTTCCTATCCTCCCCACAGCTGATTTTGATAACATCCCTGGAGAGCCAGGGTGCCCCATCAGTAGTCAGGAGGCCCCAATGGAAATGAAGGTCAGTGTCCTGGGACTTTCCAGGCACCATTCCTTTTTGTCCTCTAATCTCAGTGCCCCAGATACTGAACAGCCCACTTACCTTTTCAAAGGCTGGGAAATAACGATTTGTTGTTCTCTCTCTGATCTGGGTCATCTTGGCATCTTGTTCATCAGGTGGAAATAGTGGTAAACGCAGGATCATTTCATACAAATCTGCAATGCCTTCTGAATACATATCAATCCTGAAAGACAAAAATGATCCAATTGTAAACTGTCACCTGCCTTAATATGTTATAGTTTAAAAATCTAAGAGAATGGGGTATCAGGAGATTCCTGATAACTGTTTCTATAATTTCTGGAGCTTGAGAATGAGCCCTTTTGTGTCCTTTTCTTTCCCAGTCTTTTTTTTAAAGGCCTGAGCACTTGGAGTCATGATTCCACCATCATCCTGGCTTCATAGTTCCCCAGTGTTTAGAAAACTCTGTCACTCCCTGTGTTACCTCTGTGAACTGAGTCTTCTTTTCTAATCTCACTGCTTGATTCCACTTCAAGTGGAGTCCCTCCTCCTCATGCTCTCTGCTGGAATGGACCTCAGTCTATTCCTCCAAGGATCGTGCTGCTGTTGGTCATGATCCCCCAACACAATCCTGATCATTGAAGGAAGAATCTAAATGGTTATTAATTGTTTATTAAAACACAGAAAAAATACCTACAGGGCTCTCTCCTTTATGTTTCTCCCATAGAGGTTGTATTTGGCAGCAATGTAGTTGAGAATGGCTCTGGTCTGTGCCAGCTTCATCCCATCGATTTCCACCATGGGCACTTGCTGGAACATCAAAGACCCATCTTGTGAAAGAAGAAAGAAAGAGTAGAGTGAAGTCTCTCCTGCATCACAGTCTTTTAAGTGGAAAACAAGTTTGTTGAAATTATCAGGTAATACTTCAACAAAATGGTATTTTGTTCTTAGTTTTTTATAGTCTTTTTTCTTATCAATCTGCTTTTTTATTTTTTAACGCATCATTTTATTTACCTTTTTATTTCCCATCAGATACATGGTAGCTGCCTGTATTTTTTTTTCAATTGATATATATCTTTGTGGATATTTAAAAAGAAGCTGGAAAAGGCTGCAGCTGGCAGCCAGCCAGATGGGAAGTTCCCACAGGAACTCTCATGGTGTTCTTGGCATTTAAGGCAGTTTTGGAGAGATTTTTACATAGGGGTCTCTTTCCCTAACTTCAACATCTGCAATATTGCTAAGATGTTACTTTGCAACAAACCATAGAGATAATTCAAAGCAACTGCTAGGCCAATTTCTACTCTCTTCACCCTGATGCATGTGTTGGAGTTTCAGGGAAGTCCCGAGTGGACATAGCTCCTCACAGTTGGTGCAGAAAGGAGAAGCAAGGAGCCAGCATTCCAGGTCACAAGGGATGATTTGTTAGTGAATACTCTGAGTTCAAGCCTTTCCTAGCCCTGAGTGAATGATGAGACCTGCTTACGGAGTACCACCCTTAAACCTGAACTACTTTTCTTCCTCTTTCACTCACCCACCAGCTCCCACCATACACACACATAGACATTGCCAATGTTCAAATCTCACTATTGACTTTCTAGATTCCCTCATCGGAGCAATTTAGATACATTGTCTTACCATTTATTAATTTTTCCATGTCTTCTCGACTTTCCAAAATTTGCTCTTCAAACTAGAACCAGAAAGAATAAAGGAGTTATTGTTATTCGTTCCATAGTATTTACAGAACCTTTAACCTTAAATGACCTCTGCCTGGTACATCATAGGGAGGAGGTAAGATTTCTGAGTTTGGCATGGTACACAGAGGAACACAATCATGCCATTTGGAAATTCAGATTAGAGCCATCAAGAACAGAGCATGAAGCAAAATAAGCCAGTCAGAGAAAGACAAGTAGCACATGATTGTGTAGAATCTAATGAACAAAATAAACTGACGAACAAAACAGATCCAGAGACATTGAAACATGCAATAGACTGATGTATTTCAGAGGGAAGTGGCAGGAGGTGGGGAGGCTGGAAGTGTTTGACCAAAGAATTTACATATGCTTAGCCCATGGACAAACAATAGTGCTGGGAAGGCCTGGGGACTATGCAGGAGCAAGATGGAGGGTTATGTGCATGAGGGTGGGGAGGAAACATCTGTAATCTTTTCAACAATAAAGATATTTTAAAAAGAGGACAGAGCATGGCTTTCAGCACTTAACTGCTCACACTTGGAGGTTCCATTCACCTCCACCTGCTTTTACATCTGTCAATGGTCTGGTCATGATTTGGGAGGTGAGTGTTATTGGGGGGAAGGGACTTGGAAGTTCTACTAGTTATGGAGTTTTAATACACAGGAAAGCCTTTCTCTCCATAGGAGACAAGCCAAAAAAGTGTGCCCCCCAGCACGGGGTATCCTTGGGCCCATAACCATCTAAGATGCTGTCACCAAGGTGACAATTACATCACTTCATTTTCTTTATAGTTTAAAAGGATTATTTTATGCAATGGACATGGGCGTGGGGTTGTGGGGTTCTGTCCTGGGGGAAGGGGGTGTGAATCAGGCAATAAGGAGACATATGTAATATTTTAAATAATAATAATAAAAAAAAGATCTCTGAATGTTTGAGTATAATAAAGGGTTTGGACTAGCTTGCTCTGTGGAACAGTCAATTGTGAATCTACATAATTCTATGGGGGAAAGACCAGATAGCTAGTGAGTTATGTTTGCAGCAATTTATAAAGCTTCCATTTCAAGACAAATATAAAGGGTGGAGGATGGTCATCAAGGGAGGGTGGCTAAGTCAGGATAACATTGGCTGGTGTGATGTTGCTTGTGAGGCTAATGGAGATGAAAACGATTGTGAAGATCAACTTTTGGAAGCAGGGAACCCAGAAATCCTGTCCAAGATCCTAACCCCACGCCCTCTTCAGTAAAGCTGGGATGGACTAGATGAAGCCCCTCCTGTGCTGAACTCATCCTGCTCACAGACTCTGAACACGTTTCTGAACCTCAGAGCTGGTCGGGTAGGTTGATGGAGGAAAAAAAGAAAGAAAAAAAAAAAAGGCTGCATGGCACTATTTGTATTTTTTGTGTACTTCCTGACTCATGAAATTAAGAAAGAGCCAGGCTCCAGTCCCCATGCCTTCATGAACCAATGAAGAAAGTATAATCCTGGCTCAAGTAAACATGTTGTTATGAGGCAGAAGGAAGCACATTAAAGCTCCTGTGTCCCTCACCTGAAACCCTCCTTTACTGCTCTGATTTGTAGGTCAAAGTTTCCTGAGTTCATCCATGACTCCCTCTCCTAAAAACCCTCAGAGTTGCTGTGTCACTCTGCTGTAGACTGAGAGTGATGTGTTTTTCTCATTGACACCTCTAGAGGGAGAGCTCAACAGACTGCCACAGAAACATACCAAATTTCCATGCAGAATCTGGCATTTTGACACTGAAAATCAAGCATGTAAAACTCAAAAGCCAAATAAACAAGGTTTAAGTTTATGTGGGCTGCAAAAAAACAAAAGCTTTCTTTTTCATATAAACCTAGGTTTATTTCTATAGAGACATGCTGAATACAAAAGGCTGAAATAAATGAGTCATCGTTAACATAAAATAATAGAATATTCTCATTAAAATTAAGATTTTTTTCTTCAACATTAACTTACTAGACACTGAATCACTGCACAAATTAATAATCATAACACAAATACACCTATTTTTCTTGTTCTCCAAAAGTGAGATATTTCCTATTGTGTACACCAAACAAGTCAGCACAAGACTAATATCATGGCATTTGGCTGCTAGAATATTCACTGTTAGTATTAGTGGAGAGAAATGGTGTGCCTGCGGGTAAGGCACATAAGGGAAATTAGTCATTAGTGAATGTTGTAGTTCATTATTAATAATTATGTATAACGGGATATTGTAAAAATTAAGTTTTGAAATTTTATTAAAACATTTCTTACATGCTGTTATATTGGCTGGGCCACAATAATATTCATTGTGGGCCACATGTAGCCCGTGGGCCAAGAGTTTGACATGCTTGTTGCAAATGCTTGGATGTCCTCTAGATGCTCCCATGCCTCCTTTTAATCACCTCTTCACTGGAATGTAAGCTTCCTGAGGGCACGGACCTGTCTGTCTTGTTCATCCATGTATCCCCATAACCAAGCACAGAACCTGGCACTTAAAGGTGCTCAACAAAATAATTGCTGATTGCATGCCTTAAGTCTTTAGCAGGCAGTTTGTTATAATCTGCTCCTCTCCACTTTTGTGGTTATATCTTCATATTAATTACATTACATTCTAATGTTACAGTTTTTATCCTTTTATTTAAAAAATTTCTAGCATGTACAAAATGAAAGTACAAAGATCCTTTTTGTATTCATCACCCAGCTACAATCATTATCACACAAGCCAATCTTAACGTCATCTATTGGGTCGGCAACTACGTAATTGCGGATTTTTTAAAGAAAATCAAAGACAATTTTTTCATGGAACTAAATAACTTTATTCTGTAATGTATTGCCCATTTTGATCAATGACCTTTTGCCATCTTTCAGGCAGCATCATAATCCCACGTTCAAAAAACTTCTGGATTTTATTAGCAAAAAACTGAATCAGGTACGATTTGACATCATCATCATTATTGAAATTTTTACAATTCAAGGAGTTTTGTAAAGATCGAAACAAAAAGTAATCAGATGGTGCAAGGTCAGGACTATATGGTGGATGTGGCAAAACATCCCAACCAAGCTCCATTAATTTTTGCCGAGTGACCAAAGATGTGTGTGGCCTTGCATTGTCATGATGGAATACAACACCTTTTCGATTTGTCAATTCGGGCCGCTTTCCTTCAACTGCATTGTTTAATTTCGTTAGTTGTTCAATGTAGACATCAGAATTGATCGTTCGGTTGGGTGGTAAGAGTTCAAAGTACACAATTCCTTTGTAATCCCACCAAACTGATAACAAAACCTTCTTTTGATGAATATCAGCTTTTGATGTTGTTTGAGTTGGTTCACCTGGCCTGCTCCACGATCTTTTCCGCTTGATATTGTTGTAAACAACCCATTTTTCATCGCCAGTTATCAGTCGTTTTAAAAATGGATCATTTTCATTACGTTTCTTTAGCAAATCGCAGCTGCTAATGCGTTGCGTTAACTGTGATTCTTTCAGTTCGTGAGGAACCCATGTATCGAGTTTTCGAACATAGCCAAGTTGTTTTAAGTGATTTTCAATGCATGTATGTGATACATGAAGCTTCTCTGCAATCTCACGTGTTGTACTGTGACAGTCCGAATTGATTATTGCTTTGATTAGGGCGTCATCAACTTCAACTGGACGACCAGAGCGTTTTTCATCTTTGAGTGAAAAATCACCAGAACGAAATTTGGCAAACCAATTTTGACACTGCTGTTCTTTTAAGGCTTCGTCACCATAAACAGCACATAACTTTTTATGAGCTTGCGATGCGTTTTTCCCTTTGCGGAAATAAAAAAGCAAAATATGACGAAAATGTTCCTTTTGATTTTCCATTTTTCAACGAACGCCAAACGAAAACTACAAAACAGATCAAAAAACTTTTTTTACTGATTAACAGCTGAATAGCCAACTATCAAATAACAAAATGTGTTTTACATTTGTACTACGTCTGCAAACCTAAAAATTCAACTGAAGCCATATATGTGTGAAACCCGCAATTACTTAGTTGCCGACCCAATATATGCTCATCCACACTCCCATCTTGTGAAAATTTGAAACAACCCCATTTAGTACTTAACTCTTTAATTTATATTTCTAAAACATTATATTTATTATCAAAATAACCACAATATCACACATAAAATAACAAGTAAAAATTAACAATGATTTTTAATATCTTCTAATATTCAGTCAGTAGTTGTATATGTGTCATAAATATTTTACTGTTCATTAAAATCAAAATAAGGTCAGTAAATTATGTTTAGTAGCTGTTTCTGTTGTTTCATTTAAAATTTTATTTTAATTTTTTTCTGTACTCTTACAATGGCAGGATTTTTAATAATTTTATTGGTCAAATAGTCCAATTCTTTCCTAATATGCATAATATTTTTACTTAAGGCAAAACCATTCATAGGCCATACAGTATGAAAGTTTTATCGCTTATGTGAGAAAGTACTCTAATACAGTCAATTTTAGTCTCAACTTACGATGACAGAACTCAGAACCCACCTCTACTCCAGCTGCAGCCAGGAGCCACCTGATAGGCTCCATTCGAAGTCGTCCATTCATATAGTGAAGCTTGGGCTTCCCGGCCATGATGCAGTCTCCTGGTTTCTGTAAACATGAGCGAGTGAATGAATGAATGAATGAATGAAACCATAGAATCAAAATGTATTTTATGGTATACATTTGGACAGAAGGGTGAAGTATCTGCTTTGTTAATGGTGGAATTGGTGGAGTCCCATGAGGTCTTCCTTTGTCCATATCTTTACCCAACAGTGGCCATTGGTGTCAAATTGCACCAGGTAAGTCTCAGGTTGCCATTTGTGCTCACTATTCTATCAAATAAAAGAGTGATATGCAAATTGACCATACCTCTGCTATAACCACAAGCCACACTCACCAGCCAATCAGCAGCAAGTGTGCAAACAAGATGATTGCAGCCATGGAGAGAGCAGGAGGCTTGAGCTCTCCCGGTGATAGAGGAAGCCAAGCTTTCTGCATACCCTGGCCAGCCTAGGCCCCACTCAAGGCTACAAAGTTTCAATTATAGAAGATAAATAAATCCCAGATACCATGGCCTCTGGTTGGGTTGCTGAAGAGCATGGTTGGCCTGCAAACCACCACAGGCCCCTCACCAGGCCACCCCCTCCCCAAGGGAACCTCCACCCTGATCCGGGACACCCTTCAGGGCAAACCAGCTGGCACCCACCCATGTACCAGGCCTCTATTTTATCTAATAAAAGAGTAATATGCAAATTGCTATCACTCAAACACACAAAAAGGCTGCCCCCATGTGGACACAAGATGGCTGCCACAAGATGGCCAGCTGGGGAGGGAAGTTGGGAGGGACCAGAACTTTAAGGGAGGGCAGTTGGGGGCAATCAAGCCTGTAGAGAAGGACAGTTGCGGGGGACCAGGCCTGCAAGGGAGGGCAGTTATGGGTGACCAGGCCTACAGGGGAGGGTAGTTAAGAGCAAACAGGCTGGCAAGGGAGCAGTTAGGCATCAATCAGGCTGGCATGGGAGTGGTTAGGGGGTGATCAGGCTGACAGGCAGAAATGGTTAGAGGCAATCAGGAAGCCAGGCAGGTGAGCAGTTAGGAGCCAGCAGTCCTGGATTGTGAGACCAATGTCCAACTTCCTTCCATCCTTCCAGTAGGATTGTGCCTAAATTGGCAGTCAGACATCTGTCTAGGGGTCCCAGATTGGAGTTGGTGAAGACTGGGCTGAGGGACATACACCCCTCAAGCACCAATTTCGTGCACCAGGCCTCTAGTCAGAATAGAAACAGAGCAGCCTGGCTCCCACACAGGTGAAACAAGCCAGTGAGGGACTTTGAAACCAGAGGACTTAACCACAGGGAGGAGGAGAAGGGAGTAGAGTTAGTCATCTGCTCTATGGCTGTCATGCTGCCCTTGTGCAAATGTGTGTAGTGGGGCTTAGTCCTGGTCTAAGTTCTCTCCACACAGGAAGGGGTTCATTTCTATTATCTACTGGAATTCTATACTTTTTCCACTGCAGTATGAATTTTATTTTCTATTTAGAAAAAGGGATGTTAGTGATTATCTTTATAGTACATAGAAAGGAACTAACATGTTTAGTGTCTACCACATAATGGACATTTTCTAATGTTTATCCTTGTTTAATCTTGGTAAAAATGACTTGAGGTAGATCTTGTTATTATTCTAATTTTATAGTTAGGGGTTCAGATGGCTATAGAGGTTAAGCAAGTGACCTAAAATAAGTGGTAAACCTATCATTTGAACACACGTACAAAACACTTATGTTGGACACCAAAGTCTTGGAGCTTCTCTAAAACAGTATTTTATAAACCATGGATTGTGATCCCTCAGTGTGCTGTGAAATCAGAACAGTGGGTTCTGACTAGCATTTTCTATTTGAAATATAATAGAAAAATATCAGTGTGCCAAATGTAGTAAGTCTACATACTTACTAAATGAAATTTTAATTTAGTTACACTTACACTATGTGAGTGTGTATATGTGACTGCATGCTCTGGTTTCTTGCAAAATGTGAGAAATTCATTTTTCTGGGCCAGCCAAACGAGTGTGACAGCTGTAGTCCTTTTCTAAGGTTTCTCTGCACCACTGACTGGATAATTCTTTGCTGTGGGGGGCAGTCCTGAGCATTGGAGGATATTTACTTTAGCAGCATCCCTGACCTCTACCCACGAGATGCCATTAGCATAGCGCCCTGTCCCTCTCTCCTGTCATGACCACCCAAAATAAATCAGGAGCAACATCAGCTCTGGCTGAGCACCACTGCTCTGTTCCAAGCTGTAGCACATGGATGGGAGCAGCCAAAGACAGCTCCTCACATAAGGACTGGGAAATTCCAGCCAAGGTCTGCGGCAGGATTTATCAGTGTTTTAGTACAAAGGCACAGGAGTCATTAAAAAGCAAAGGTTTACTCTTTCCGAAAGCAACCAGGGGTGACATCTGAAAATGGTTTGCTGTTCACTTGACCCAGAAAATCCCACAAAATCATGCAAATCAAGAGGTCCAAATCTTCCTGTTCATTGCCCAGGCCATCAAGTGTATGCCTATTCAAAAGGCCACCACTTATCTGAAGAATGCCATTTTATAAAAGCTATGTGTGCTATTCAGTTGTTACAATGTGGAACTGGTAGGTGTGCTCAGGCAAGAATTCAATTGCCTAGACCAGTGGGCAGCAAACAGCGGTAGAGGTCAGGAATGCTGCTAAAGTAAATATCCTCCAGTGCTTGCAAGCCACATGCCTCCATCAGATTGAGGACGTTTTCAGCAAAGGCCAGCTTAGGAGTACCCTAATTAAGTTAATAACAAAGTACCTGCCTAAATAGTTTGTTTAAAAAATTTGGCTGTCAAAAGAAATTTCAATCATTGTACTGTTGATATTTGGCTCTGCTGACTAATGAGTTTGCCGACCACTGACCTAGACTTAGTGGGGGACAATTTCTGCCCCATTCTTAGTCACTAGACATCAGAAAATGTTTGTAAGCATTTTTTTTTTTTGTGCAAGATTTTGTGGTAATTTCTTAGCAAAACATATATGTCTTCACACAATAGTTATGTTTTTAAAAGGTAAATGAACTTTGAATTTTTTACATGTCAAAGGGTAACCATAAATTAACATTGCAATTAAGTGATAAATGCTGTGTTCTATTTTGCCTTTTCTCAAGGCCTGCAGCCAGCACCATGTTTTCTTAAAGTGTGTAAATAAAGCCCTGTATTGTCATTCCCTATTTAGCCTTTTTTGCAGTTTAGAGAACTATGCTTGGGGCCACAGGTGTCCTCAGTAAAACTGCAAATTCCAGTTTGGAGAGAACTCTGCCAATAAGGGAAGAAGCCCCGCCCTTTCCTATGCTCCCCCTTCTTAGGAGAAGCATCACTTTCCATTCCCCTCCCTCTGATCTGTTTGTTGTACAGTCCCTGTCCCCCTTATAAGACCTCTGTCAGCACTGAGATCTCAAGATGGTTTTTGAGGACTGAGAAAAGTCCCCCATTTTCTCAGGATGCCAGCACTCAAATAAACCTCTTTTCTTTTTCACCACACCTGTGTCATAAGATTGGCTCTCGTTGCAAAGGCAACCAAATCTGGATTTTATTACAAAAAAGAGTTTAAATGTTCTAAAGGATATTTATTTATTTATTTATTTATTCATTAATTTGCTTCTTAGAACCCTTGTTTCTGGATTTCTGTCATGCAATATAGTTTCTATTTTGGGGGCATTTCATTCAAACTTCTCCAATTAACTGGAGTAGCTTCATGCATCAAGCAATAATGGTTCTTTGGGAACAAGAAACAAGTCTGATTTGTTCCTTCCCCTTAAGGGACTTAAGTCTGGTCAGAAAAATAACCTTGTCAACAACTGGAATAATGAGACTTTCCTGTGTGAGAACTCTGTTTTGCTCTTTCTTTTGTTATCAGTTCTTTTAGGGCACTACTGACTCTCATTAGGTTGCACCCTACTGGGTGACTTCATGTACCTTCTGAAAACTAATGCTCCCTTTATGTATGATGCTCCCCCTCAAAATTTCCCAAATTATAGACCCAGAAAGGGCCTGGGAAGTAGGCTAGTCCTTCAAGAGTGTAAGGAAAATGCTATATATCAAAGAGAGAGTATGGCTTGCCAGCTAGCCAGTTAGTGATAAAGTCTAAATTAGATCCCAATTCTCCTGGCATTCAGACAAATGTCTTCCTATTATTCTATTGTATATTGCCGAATTTTCACAGCCTGCAGAAATTAGTGTTTTTGTCCCGGCACTAGATTAGTGAGATTCCTGAGAAGTTGTTGTAGCACCCATTGTATTCAGCACAATTCATTGTTCAATAGGCCGATTGCTAGAAGGTCTGTACACTCTCCAAATAACGTGGCATGGATAGATTCCTCAAAAGGCACACTTTTTATTCTTTTAGGATTACCTTCATAAGGCTTGCCATTTTACAATATTACTGTATAGAGTGATTAAATTATAATCTGAGATCATGGAATGAAGTAACCAATCCTAATTATAAAACCCAACATTATATCATTTATTTTTTAATATATTTTATTGGTTTTTTACAGAGAGGAAGAGAGAGGGAGAGTTAGAAACATCGATGAGAGAGAATCATCGATCAGTTGCCTCTTGAGCACCCCCTACTGGGGATGTGCCCACAACCAAGGTACCTGCCCTTGACCAGAATCGAACCCGGGACCTTTCAGTATGCAGGCTGACGATCTATCCACTGAGCCAAATCGGTTTCGGCCCAACATTATATCATTTAAATGGAACTATCAAAGCAGTAGAACTTTCCACATAATAGAAACACAATGGTTATGCCAAAAAGCTTTGCAAGGTACACAGAGGAATATTTAACTTGCAAATAGAAGGGATTTGCAAATCCTCTGTCAGACTGGGAACCTCACAGCTCAAGAGAAGGCCATATTTTCTTAAGTTTGGTTAAGAAGTAAACCAGAGGCACTTGACTTCCTAGTCTAAAAACCCTATACATTTAAATTCACTAGTCAGTTTGAGTCTTTTCTTTGTAAAAAATCCTTCCTAACCTTTGGTCTAAAACCATTAAACAAGGAATGGGAGGAAGGAGGATGAAAGGAAAATGGAGAGCCGGGGTGGGGGTGAGGACAAAGGAGCAGGAAGAGAAAGAAAAGACAGATATGTGTTTAATCACAAAGTAACTCATAAGAACAACAAGCTAATAGCATAAGAATTCACCTATGGAGGTGTAAGTTCAGATTCTGACTGACAGGCATTGGTTTCCCAACAGGAGGTGTTGGTTCAAGAGGCACATAACCATTGTCATATATTTTCTTCTCATTGCTCAATATGTGACCCTGTCAAATTTAAATTCAGTACCATTGTGTATTGACTACTATGTGAACACACTAATGCATCATTTATAATGGCTAAAGTGACTTTAGTGTAAGCACACATGCTCTCCCTAAAACAAAAATGTTGTGTTTTCTCATTATCTATAATAACAATCTTCTCTTTTCCTATATCATCAAGTTCTCTGCTTTCATTTTCAAAATTTTGGTTATTATTTTCCTTTAAAGACCTGGCCTTGAGGAACTAATAAAAAAAAAAAAAAATGCTTGTCGAAACCGGTTTGGCTCAGTGGTAGAGTGTCGGTCTGCGGACTGAAAGGTCCCAGCTTCGATTCCGGTCAGGGGCATGTACATTGGTTGCCGGCACATCCCCTATGATATAATGTTGCAAGAGGCAGATGGTTGATGTTTCTCTCTCATCGACATTTCTAGCTCACTATCTCTCTCCCTTCCTCTCTGTGAAAAATCAATAAAATATATTTTAAAAAAATAAATAAAATAAAATAAATAAATAAGTATATAAAAAATGCCGGAATTGTCTCCTGAACACACAAGAAAGGCACAATAAGAACATAGAGTACCTACATAAAATAACACATTATTAAAATTTTTCTGAATGAGAGAGAAACCAAGATGGCGGCATAGAACTGCCTAACTGCAGCCTCACACAACAATTTCAAAAAATACAACTAAAATATAAAGTAGACATTAATCCAGAACTACAGGAAAGTTGACTGACTGAAAATTCTACAACAAGAAGGAAAGAGAAAACCAGAAGGAATTCAGAGGAGCTGTAAAAGCCTAAGGTACAGAGACACATTGCGTGCGCAGAGAGGACGGAGCCGGAGAGGAGGGGCGGCTGAGTGCCTGGCTGGTGTTCCCTATCAGAAAGGAGATAAAACCCAACATTATATCATTATAACCCCAGTTCTGACAGCACTGTACCCCAGTTCTGAGCGAGACCCTGGGGACCCAGACACATACAGAGAGAATCTGGGCTGTAAGGCGGAAGCTCAGGGGAGCGGCGAAAGGCAGAGCCCCAAGTCGCGCACATTTCATGCAGAGGACTGACTGTTGACTGTGCTGCTATATTGTCCTAGCGGGAAGGAGACATAAGCTCCAGACTGTGCTGAGCCTCAGTTCTGACTGCACTGAACCCCAGTTCTGGACGAGACCCTCGGGCCCCAGACACATACAGAGGGAATCTGGGCTGTAAGGCGGAAGCTCAGGGAGGGGCGAAAGGCAGAGCCCCCGAGTTGCCTACATTTCATGCAGAGGACAGACTGTTGATTGAGCTGCTGGATTGCCCTAGCAGGAAGGAGACATAAGCTCCGGACTGCTCTTAACCCCACTTCCAACTGCACTGAACCCCAGTTGCAGGCTCATTGGGGGAGAGACTAAACTGTCTGGGAGCAGGCAAAACTCTAGAGCACATATCTCTCAGAGGTGCTTGCAGTGAGTACCAAAGGACACTGAGAAACACTGAGACTCAGGAACCTCATAGGGCGGGGCTAACCAGAAGCCAAGGCTGTAGGCTCCACCTTGAAACTCTGCCCCATCCAAGCTGAACACAGAGGCGCTTGCAGTTTTCCAAGTCTAGTCGAATAAGGCTGTCTCCTGGCATAGATACAGCTGATCCTCCTACTCTACCAACTCAGGGAAGCAGCAAAAATGCTGAGACAAGGAAACAGATCACAAACAAAAAAAATGAAGGACAAAAAGCGAATGGATATAGAGTTCAAAACCACGCTTATTAGGTTTTTCAAGAATCTCCTAGAAAAGGCCAATAAAATAAACAAGACCTATAAAGATATGAAAAGGGATCAACTATAAATAATAAAGGATCAACTAGAAATAATAAGGGATCAACAAGAAATAATAAGGGATCAACAAGAAATAAAGAATACATTGTCTGAAATAAAAAATATTATACAGAGCCCTAAAAACAGAATGGAAGATTGCAAGAATCAAGTCAAAGACTTGGAACACAAAGAGCCAGAGGACACTCCTCCACAGAAGCAAGAAGACAAGAGAATCCAGAAAATTGAAGATAGTGTAAGAAACCTCTGGGACAACTTCAAGCAAACCAACATCAGAATTATGGGCGTCCCAGAAGATGACAGAGAGCAAGATACCAAAAACATATTGAAAGAAATAGTGACAGAAAATTTCCCCCACCTGGGGAAAGAAATAGACTTACAAGTCCAGGAAGCACACAGAACCCCAAACAAAAGGAATCCAAAGAGGACCACACCAAGACATATCATAATTAAAATTCCAAGAGCAAAAGACAAAGAGAGAATATTAAAAGCAGCAAGAGCAAAGCAGGTAGTTACCTATAAAGGAGCACCCATATGATTATTAGCTGATTTCTCAACAGAAACCATGCAGGCCAGACAGGAATGGCAAGAAATATTTAAGGTGATGAATAACAAGAACCTATAGCCAAAAATACTCTACCCAGCAAAGCTATCACTCAGAATTGAAGGCCAGATAAAGAGCTTCACAAATAAAAAAAAGCTAAAGGAGTTCATCACCGCCAAACCAGAATTATATGAATTGCTGAAGGGGGTTCTTTAGGAAGAGGAAGAAAATAAAGATAAAAATTATAAACAACAAATATGTAACTATCAACAAGTGAATCTAAAAACCAAGGGAATTAAAAAACTTGATGAATAATATTAACTATTGAATATAATAGAATCAGAGGTATGGAAAGGGAATGGACTGATAATTCTAGGGGAAAAGAGGAGAGGGGGGTGCGGGAAGAGACTGAACATTAACTGTGCATCTATGGATGAGGACAATGGGGGGTGGGGAAAGGACAGAGGGTGGGGTGGGAACCTGGTGGAGGGGGAAAAAATGAGGAACTTTTGTAATAATATGAACAATAAAGATTTATTTTAAAAAATAAATAAAATAAAATAAAATAAATATATATATATAAAATAAATTAAAAAATAAAATTTTTCTGAGTGAAACAGATACAAGAAAATTTATAAAGATGTGTAAGGTCAGTACTAACCTATTAAGTTCACGCTGTCTCTCTGCTCAGCTCCTCAAGGTCACTGCCTAATATCTGTGTTAGATGCTTAAATATCTTGACAACCCTTTCCCTCCTAAGGGGGTGGGGTCCAATAAGGAGCAGTCACTCCCACAGCCTCCAGCCTCCACAGAGTTCAATACTAGACATGAAAGCAAACGACAGCTTAGCAATGTTTCATTTCAAGATTATCCATAAATGCACAAAGAAGGGATTTCAGGTTTATTTGTTTGCCCAACAGGTCCGTGGGAATCAGGCTTCTATTAACACTGCTGCTTATGTAGGATTTAATAAAATTTGCTGTAAAGATGGAAATGTCTTATGGGAAAATGTATCATAGGAGGGTAGTGTCAGAAAAGAAGATTAGATAGAGAACAAAGGGAGATGGCAATCTAAATTCATAAAAAGGACTGAATGATGAACACTGTTGCAACCCAAATTCTCTAGACCCAAAGAATCTGTCTGAATTTCCTAGTAGTGGGCAGGAGAAACTCAGCTGCCTTACCTGGGTCATGTTAGATCCCTTCCTTAGTGACTACACTTCAGCATTTCTCTCTAGCCTCAGGACCCTTGCATGTGCTGTTTCTTTTGATTGGAACAGTCTCCTGTTGTACTGTCAGGCATCCTGTGCTTCCTCGGTCAAGTAGTTATGACCTTATCTGTTTAATATCTGTGTGTCTTTCTTCACCTCACACCCTCATTAACTGAGACCTGCCCAGTGCCCATGACTGACTATAGTGCCTGGCATCACATGGAAGAGACTTCATAAGCAAAAATAAATACATATAAAATGTATAATGTATCTTTTTCTAATGAAAATTTTCTAACAGATATAAATGCAGAATGACAAATATAATGGGTCTTAATGTACCCATCAGATTACCACAATAATTGTCAACAATGTTTTGAAGCAAATCCCATTATATTGCTTCAATAAATAATTTAACATATATCTTTTAAACTTTGGTGAAATTATGTTACAGAAAAATTGCAAGTGGTACAGAGTTTCCAAATACACTTCCCCAAGTTTTGCCTATTATGAATATCTTACATAACTATAGTAAAATGATCAAACTAGGAATTTTATATTGATACAATATTATTAACAAAACTCCAGATTTTACATGGGTTTCAGCAGTTTTTCGACCAGTGTCTGTTTTCCAGTACTGGATTTCACACCAATTAGTTGCCATAGTCTCCTCCAATCCATGACAATTCCTCAGTCTTTCCCTATTTGCCAACCTTGGGTCTTTCGGAAAGCACTGGTCTAATGTCCCTTAATATGGCTCTGCCTGACGATGCTAGGGTAGTTATCAATGCATCTGGTCCTGATGTCAGCTCCTATGTCCTTTAAAACAAGTTTCCTCCCTTTATGGGTAATTCCATTTATTTTCTACCCCAAAGATGTTTCAGGTTATCTTATGTTTCCTCTACCCCAATTTAGGGGATCAAGGAAGAAGATGCTGGAGATGAGCTGTAGGCTGTCAGGGGCAAAACCCTGCAGTATTGCTCTGTCTGCTTTCACTAGGGGGTGGTTGGTGGGTTGGTTCTGCTTTCTGGGTCTGGAGCTGAATCCCAACTGAGACCTAGATGTCATCTCTAGTTTGGCTGACACTGTCTCTGTGATCAGGAGAGGCTTTGTTCCTAAGATGGTTTGATTCCGACCAAAAGCTCATTGTTTGGAGGACTTGCTGATTAAGGATATGCACATGCAAGAGAGAAAGAAGTGGGTGAGCCAGGGTGCTGGATAAGGCCAGTTTGAATCAACGGGAAAGAAATGAAGTTTCTGCATGGTTACAAACCCCTCTGGTTGCAAGTAGAGAGCAGATCAGAGGAGTGGAGCTGCAGATGGGGAGGTTATTGGGGTGATGGAGGTGAGAAATCATGAGGCCTCATCTCAGGCAGTGGAAGAGAGAGCTGTGCATGGCAGTTGGAAGTTGCACTGCCATGGTTCTGTCTCACCCAGGGGGCAGGCAAGGAGAGGCAAAGCTGCTGTGTGGACACCTCAGAGGGGCTGGCAGCGCTGCTCTGGCTCCAGGGAGGAAACAGAGAGGATGAGGAGGAGCCTGTGGAGCAGACTCTGAGTCTGGTTTCTAAGGAGCTGAGTTTGAGGGGACTGAGGAATAAGATGCTGGAGATGAGCTGTGGGCTGTCGGGAGCAAAACCCTGCGGCTTCTGAACTGAAATAAGGTAACCAGTCAGGAGGGAGGAGAGGCAGGGGCAGGGCTGTGTATCCATCTTGGAGCATGTTTTCCCTCAGTCAACAGAGGAGAAGGAAGCCCTGAGGTCTCCCAGAGGGAGAAGGAAAGATCCTGTAATACAGGTCCATCTTGCTCATAACATGGGATAAATTCCTGTCAATTTGGAGGCAACTCACATCCTCCTTTTCTGGGACATCATGCCCCCTTCACCCAGAAGCAGACCAAGAGCAAGCAGCTCCCTCACAGGGGACCAGTAGAGTCCCATGAAATCAGCAACTGAACTGATTCAGGAGGAGCTCCTCCCAGACCTTTCTCCTGGCACATGACCAGTGTACCTCTGCCTTCTGGACACATCCATCTGGCTGCCCCTCAGGCAACTCAAAGTAACCAAACCCCAAACAGAAATCGTGTTTCCATTCTGAGATTGGCCCTGCTGGCCCTCACCATTGCCCAGACTGGAAGCCTGCCATATCCCTGACCCGCTCTCTCCCTGCAAATCTCCATTTCCCCTTCACTCTCCTCCAACCCAGCTGGTTCTCTCCACACTGACCCTTCTTCCAGTGCAGGCTGCCATAATCTCTCATGCAATTTCCATAGAACCCTGCATTCCAGACTCTGTGTCCAGACTTGGTCCCTGTGGTGCAGTATTCTAACTTCCATGTGGCAGCCAAAGTGGTTTGTCTTTTCTTTTCTTTTTGAGATATAATTGACCTTCAGCATTATATTAGTTTCTTGAGTACTACATATTAATTCAACATATGTATGTGAAATGATGAGCACAATAAGTCAAGTCAACATCCATGATCACACATAGTTGCAAATGTGGTTTCTTGTGATGAGATTTGTTTAGATCTACTCTCTTAAAAGTTTGCAAATATAATATGCAGATTAACTGTAGTCACCGCACTGTACATAATGACATTCCAGAGAATTTATTTATTTTGTAACTAGAAGTTTGTACATTTGATTCCCTTCATCCATGTTGCTCACCTCCACCGCTAGCATCCAGCAATTTGTTTTTAGATTCCAAATATGAATTCTATGGTATTTGTCTTTTTTGGCCTTACTTATTTCATTTAACATAATGCCCTCAAATGGGTCTGTCTAAGAAGCACATTTAAGTCTGTCAACATCTGCTGCTTTAAAACTGCTGAATTAATGATTTTTGCTGTCAGGGTGAAGTTCAGACTCTTGCACTGAGATGATAAAGCCCTCCATAATCCCACACTCTAGCCCAGCCTTGTTTCTGCCACTCTTCCTCCCTTCAGAACTTTCTTTCCACCTCTTTGCCCTCCGGCCTTCACAGAGAGTGTTTGTTCATAGGTATTTGTTCCCACACCCTTCCTCCCATCTGCCTTCAGCCTCCCCACTTCTCCTGGCTACTTCCTCCTTGCCTTGTAGACAAGTTGGAGTGTCGCTGCTGCTAGAAGCTTCCCCTGACATAGTCCCACAGACCAGGGGTGGGTACGAGCTTGGTTTGGTGTGAATCATGGCTCTGGCACCTGAAACTGTGTGACTTGGGGTGAATGGTTTCCCCTTTCTGTACTTCAAGTTTCCCCATCTTCAAAATAAGACTATACTACCAACCTCATAAGTTATGTTAGTTTATGGAGTACAACATATTGTGAGGGTTAAATGTAAAGTGCTTAGGTCAGGGCCTGATAATAAAAGAGCTCTAATCATCACATTTCTGCCCCTTGTCACAATGCTTCCTAATTTCACCCTTAAACCCCATTAGATTGCAGGATGTACACAAGAAAATATGAAATCACATACATTTAATGATTACAATAGTTATCTTTGTATTACGAAATGTGAGGGGGAACACCTGTATTTTGTCTTTCACAGGTTTTGTGCATTAAGCCTGTACTATGTTTGAAATCTAGAAAAATTCTATTTAATAAAAGAGTAATATGCAGATTGACCATATCTCCAACACACAAGATGGCTGCCCCCATGTGGTGAAAGATACTGCTCCCATGTGGACACAAGATGGCCACCACAAGATGGCCAGCAAGGGAGGGCAGTTGGGAGGCACCAGGCCTTCAAGGGAGGGCAGTTGAGAAGGACCAGGCTTGCAAGGGACGGCAGTTGGGGGCGATCAACCCTGCAGGGGAGGGCAGTTAGGGGTGACCTGGCCGGCAAAGGAGGGAAGTTGGTGGCAAACGGGCTGGCAGGGGAGCAGTTAGACATCAATCAGGCTGGCATGGGAATGGTTAGGGTGTGATCAGGCTGGCAGGCAGAAGTGGTTAGGGGCAATCAGGAAGAAAGGCAGGTGAGTAGTTGGGAGCCATCAGTCCGGGCCTAAACGGGCAGTCGGACATCCCTCAAGGGGTCCCAGATTGAAGAGGGTGCAGGCTGGGCTGAGGGACCCTGCCCCCATGCACGAATTTTGTGCACTGGGCCCCTAGTTTAATATAATATTTTAGATAGGCAGTTAATTAAAAAAATCAGAATACTCAATTATTTTTACACTATGGTTGCAAATATATAAGATTTATGTGTATGTGAAAAAAATGAAAAGGAACAAAAGTAAAGAAAAATAATGTGCATTGGAGTTCCGAGATTGTGGGTTAGTATGTTTTCTTGTCACATGTTCTGGGACTGAGGATCCAAGGTGACCGTGGAATAGGTAAATGTTACACTCACTTCCTCCCATAACAAACTGGAATTATAACTAAAATATAGAACTATCAACCTGAATAACCAAACCTGCCAAGGTCTGACCTTACAACCAAGAAGTTACAAAAGAAGCCACATTGAGACTGGCAGGAAGGACAGAGATGCAAAAAGGGCTGCCCCCTTGCCCTGGCTGGTGTGTTCAATGGTTAGAATGTTGGTCCATGCACCAAAAAGCATGCACCTGGGTTGCAGGTTTGATCCCCACT